CTGTTACAAAAAATTTGGACATTAGGTGTGGACTGGGATGATACCCTTCCATTAGAAATAATTAAGGACTGGAGTCGCTGGCAAGCTGAATTAAAGGTGTTGGAGGAGTTTTCTCTTCCGAGAAAATATTTTGGTAGTAGTGAAAAATCTAATGTTAGTCTTCATGTATTTGCTGACGCTAGCCCTAAAGCGTACGGCGCAGTAGCATACTTTAGATACCTTGATTCAGAAAACATTATTTGCACCAGTTTCATTACCGCAAAGGGTCGCGTAGCTCCACTCAAGACTATGACTTTACCTCGTTTGGAGTTGATGGCTGCTTTAGTAGCCGCCAAATTGTCTATGTATTTGACAAAGCTGTTTCCTGAACTGTGTCATCAAAAGTTTCTTTGGAGTGATAGTGATAGCCAAAATAACTATCTACTGGATAAAGGGATGTGCAAGAAACTGGAAACCCTTTGTATCAAACCGAGTTTCTGATATTCAGTCACTCACGGATCCTGAATGCTGGTTTCACTGCAGTGGGAGTGAAAACCCTGCTGACCTTTTATCTCGAGGAGAAAAGGCCTTTAATCTTGTGAGAAGTTCCCTTTGGTTACAGGAACCTAGCTGGCTGTCTCAACCTGAAAGTGTTTGGCCAGTAAATAAACAGACCAACATCGACGAGGAGAGCGTTCAGAACGAAGCAAGGGTGCAAACATCTCTTCATGTTTCTGTTCAAGACGTAGAATCTTCGGCATTACTAGAGTTAACGCGATTCAGCAGGCTGCTGAAGGTGTATCGAATTACGGCTTATGTTATGCGGTTTGCCAACAATATAAAACGAAATTCAGTGAAAGTCAAAGGTCCATTAAGCTCTGTTGAAATTTCACGAGCTGAGCTCTATTGGGTAAAAGTTGCACAGCGAAAATACTTTGCGAAAGAGATTCTAGATCTATCAAGTGGAAAATGCTTAGAAAAGACATCGTCGATTTATTCACTTAACCCAGAATTGGATACCCATGGTCTTCTGCGTTTAAAGGGCAGACTTCAATTCTCAGACTTTTCTTTCGAAGAAAAACACCCATGGCTGTTACCTTATAAAGATAGATACAGTGAACTAGTAATTTTTGAGTCTCATAACAAATTGTTTCATGCTGGAGTCGAAGCTACCTTAGCCGATATTAGAGAAAAGTTTTGGATCATAAAAGGACGCCAATTCGTCAAGTCAACGTTAAGTAAGTGCTTTTTGTGTAAACGATACAAGGTGCGTGCCGGTACACAGGAAACCGCTCCTTTACCACCTGATCGTGTTCTTCAATCATCTCCATTTTCTGTAACAGGGCTGGATTATGCTGGTCCCTTTTTTACAAAGGACAGCAAGAATAAACATTATCTGCTTTTGTTTACATGTGCTACAACTCGAGCTTTACATCTAGAACTTGTCCCTTCTATGAGCGTGGAGAATTTCATGCTTGCGTTTCGCAGGTTTATTTCTCGTCGTGGATTGTGCTCAACGATATATTCTGACAATGCCAAGACATTCAAATGTGCTGATCTCAAGTTGCGAAAAATTTGGAAGTGTATTCAACATCCATCTGTACAAAATTTGTTTCTTTCCCACGGTATAACATGGAAGTTTATTGTGGAAAAAGGAGCATGGTGGGGAGGGTTCTGGGAAAGGCATTTTAGAACGATCAAAACTTGTTTAAGGAAAATAGTTGGACGTTCTAGTCTCTGTTTGAATGAGCTAGAAACAGTCTTCGTAGAAATCGAAGCCATAATTAATTCAAGACCCATAACGTATGTGTACAATGACCTTTCAGAACCCTCACCGCTAACTCCTGCTCATTTCTTAATTGGTAAACGTTTACTTTCTCTTCCAGTTACAAGAGTGTGCAGAGAAGACTTGATTGGGTCTAGACATTCCTTGATCAAAAGGTATAAACATCAACAAACCTTGTTAAACCACTTTTGGAATAGGTGGAGGAAGGATTACTTGCTTTCTTTAAGATCTGTGAATTTATGTCCACCTACTAAAGTGTCTGGTCACTTTAATGTTAATGATGTATTCCTTGTACATGACGACCGTTTACCTAGGAATTTGTGGACACTAAATAAGATAATAGAAACTTATCCTGGCAGAGATGGTCAGGTTCGCTCGTGTCTCATTAAAACTCAAACAGGTAATCTAAAGAGACCAGTACAATTGCTGTACAATCTTGAAGTGCATAATTAGTAGTAAAGAGTTACAGTGTAATAATCTGATTTGTTTGCACATATATCATCTTCTGAATATCTTTATTGATTTTTGCTAAATGTAGTTTAGTTTATATAATTATTGCGAATTTTGATTTAGTATAATGTTTCTTATTTAGTAATTACTTTATAAGTTGATTTAACGTGTTTAAACATTACTTAATTGTTATTTGTAATTTGATGTAGTTTATAGAGTATTCAAATGTTGTGTTTGATTTAGAAATCATGGTTTATTTTGTATTCGGTTTCTGTGAACTTAAAGAGTTCACAGGTGGGGAGTGTTGTAAAGAGAGAAGTAGAGGGCGCTGCTTGGCAGTAGCGCAATGCATGTAAGTAGAAACGAAATGTCGTTTGATTAGGCAACATGATTTCTGTGAAGGTAGTCCACCTAACAATAGACAGTTGTAAATATGTAAATATAACGAATAATAAATAGCATTAGAAAACTGAACCACCGGATGTTTTGTGATTGCTCTACGGGCCGCCATGGATAAATGCAGGTTCGTCACACCAACTATGCAATAAACTGTCTTTGGAGACCAGAAATCAAAGTACCGGATTCCTTCATCTACGCCTTAAACCATAACGTACATATTATATACGATTGGTCCAGCCAATTGCAACGAAAACGTAGGTGCACAACTGCATGTTATACTAGTCCCATATACAAAATTCCAACGTTCTACCGCTACGCGTTCTTGAGTTATGCCAGATACATACATACGTATCTATGTATAGACGTCATGAAAAAATGTCTTCTGGATCCATTTTACGATCCTTTTCGGCAAAAAGTCCTTTCTTCTGTTCGTACGTACAGATGTCACGCAAAAACTTCGCTACGCGTTCTTGAGTTATGCGAGATGCGTACATACGTATCTATGTACAGACGTCATGAAAAAATGTCTTCTGGATCCATTTTAAGATCCTTTTTGGCAAAAAGTCCTTTATTTTGTCTGTACGTACAGATGTCACGCAAAAACTTCGCTCAGATGGTTTCGAGAGCGGTTCAAATGTATATTTTCTTTGAAATATGATACCCGAGTTTTCGCGATTACAATACTTCCTTTACTTCGTACAAGGAAGTAAATATGTAAAAATTCTGTGTTTTTAAGATGTTGTTTAATTTTGCTGTTCTGAAACATAAACTCGGTTATATGTTTTAATTTAAAATTATATAATATTAATTTCTGTATCATTTGTTTAATTCTGGCCGACAGATGAAAAAATGGCGACCGACGGACTTCGTACACTGCTATTTCTATATAGGGCATCCTAAAACATTGACAAGTTTTATAAAGTTGTGGAAGTTCTAAGTTCTAAAAGTATATATATATTAAACTATCTGAAAAAATCTACTATCCGAAATCGGCTCGATCCTTTTGATGCCGGTTAAAAGAAATTCTTCTGTATTAAAGAGCATCGGCAATAAGTTTGATTATTGTCAAGGCTCCCTTTGACTAATTCAAATATAAAAAATCTGATGTGTACACCACATGACTTCCTTGTACGGAATATTAAATTATACGCATTTTTTCTTGAATTTCATTTAAATTGATTGGATTGAATTAAATCTACTTCGTCGACAGCGCATAAACCACAATAGAATAAATGCACTCTTCGCAATAATTCTTTATTATTAATTTTAATAATAAAGAATTCGCAATAATATTCACTATAATCGTTTACTATAACGACACTCTGAATGCACAAAATTTATATCATTTGAAGAATTATCGTTGCCACATGTTCTATTCAAATACTATAATAAAGCTAAAATGATGTATGAAAGAAATTAAGCAAACAAAACAGAAAAGAAACAGTTTTTCACAGACGATTTAGTATTTCTCATTCAATTAATTCAGCTCTCACTTCGCGAAAAGGCAAAAATTCATAAAAACTCAAAAAATCTGCATTAAAAATTACGAAGTAAATCTTAAACACTTATTTCCTCGAAAAAATTCCAGAAAGAATTAAGCATGATTTAATTCGCAATAATAAATGAAGGCGTTATTTTTGTGTTGCGAAGCTTAGTCTCTCTAGATTGGCAACAAATCTACAATTCTGCTAAGTTTCAAATGTAATAAATATGGGTACCGCCATGTAAATTTAAAAAATTAGGCTTAACCGCACTTAAAACAGCTTTTAAATTGTTGATAATTTGTACAAATATTGCTTCCAGAATTAACTAAAGGCATAAAAACCTTAACCGGAAGTTAAAAACAGCATAATTGAATCATTTTTTAAAGCAAAAAATGTACAATTTACAAACATATAAGAGTAAAGATACTAAGATCACTGAGCCGGGTAACAGAGTGGATATATATGTATAAATATATTTATATACGTTTGGTGTGGCCGATTGCAACCAAAATACGAGGTGCACATGTACATGTTATAGCAGTCCTATGTACAAAATTTCAACGTTCTGAGGCTACTCGTTTTTGAGTTATGCGAGATACGTACGTACGTACATACGTTCTTACAGACGCCACGAAAAATTCTCTTCAGAATTAATTTTAAAGCAGTTTTATAATTTTTTTGAAAGAAAAGAGTGTTTTATTCTGTCCTTACGCACAGATATCACGCAAAAACATCGTTAAATTGCATTCGATAGCGGTCAAAATGGTTATTTTCGTTGAAATATGTTGCCTGAAACTTTTCGCGATTCCAATAATTCCTTTTTACTTCGTACAAGGAAGTAAAAATAATAAATATAAATTAAATATATATATATATATATATACTACAAAATTTTTACATACATAAAAGAGCTGTAACTAGCATTTCGTACGAGGTCACCAAAGATCGCTGGTTGCCCATAAGGTGGTGACATCTGTAACAAAACAAAAATAAAAGCAAGATTAGGTTATTTTATGAAGAAATATAAACAATACATGGTACTTACGTTTTATCCCGTCTACCGTGAAACTATCGCCAAGAAGCGCGATTTAGCGCCAGTTGTGTATAAGCGTGACGTTACCTCACCTGGTTATGTCCCAGGTGAGGCTTTTTTTAAAAATAATGCCACTTCAACCCCTATTGATAGGAACGGTAAGAAGGACACCCACTTCAGCCTTTTCATTCGTGGTCAGCGCAAAGTCCAAAACCTCCATAGACGGTCACGTGACCGTGAAATATGTATATAGCTATGTTACAACGAGTCTTAAACCTTTAAACTTAGTTTAGGCACGGTTTCGATAAGCCATTAAAGACAATGGTGAGTATAACTAATACGTAAAACAAGATGTTTTCAAAATACGATTAGAATTTGGCGTTGTTATTATCCTGAAATAGGATCATGTCAATTTCCAAAGAATGACCGCGATTAAATATTCTGAGAGAAACGAAACATCTGAAAATTGAAAGATTTAAAGAGAAAAAGGGGATTTGGATTTTGAGGATTTAGCTAACCTGCATTAATAAAATTCTGATGTGTACACCACATGACTTCCTTGCACGGAATATTAAATTATGCGCATTTTTTCCTGCATTTCTTTAAAATTTTATTTCCTCGAATTTCCTTACAGATATATTTCTCATTCAATTAATTCAGTTCTCACTTCGCGGCAAGGCAAAAATACATTAAAAACCTCAAAATATCTTCATTAAAAATCGAAAAAGTATAGAACTATATAAAACACCAAATACAGTTAAAACAATTAAAAAAACATTTTTTACAATTCAAATTAGAGTTTCTAAGCAAAAACTAGCATTTCGGCCAGCGGGCAAGAAGACAGATTTTTCGATGCACAAAACAGAAAGTTTACTTTTCGTCCCGCTCGGCAAAAAGACACTGAAGGTGAAGAAAGTGACTTGATTCACTATTCTGCTAAGTTTAAAATGTAAACAAATATGGTTGTTATGGTTTAAAAAAAACTAGGCTTGCCGCATTGAAACAACTTTTAAATTGTTGATAATTCTACAACTATTGCATGCAGATTAACAAAAGGCTTAAAAACATTAACCGGGAGATAAGAATAACATTATTCAATCTTTTTTAAAGCAAAAAATGCACTATATACCAACATTTAAGAATGGAAATAAACTAAGCTCACTGAGCCGAGTAACAGAGTGGGTATATATATATATATACTTTTGGTGTGGCCAATTGCAACCAAAAAGGTAGGTGCACAACTGCATGTTAAAGAAGTCCTATATACGAAATTTCAATGTTCTGAGGCTATTTGTTTTTGAGTTATGCGAGATACGTACATACGTAGGTACGTACAGACGTCCCGAAAAAAAATCTCTTCTGAATCCATTTTAAATCCTTTTTCCAATCTATTTTGGGAAAAGAATCCTTTATTTTGTCCTTACGTAGAGATGTCGGGCAAAAACATCGTTAAATTGCACTAGATAGCAGTCAAAATGGATTTTTCGTTGAAATATGACACCCGAAAATTTTCGCGATTGCAATACTTCCTCTACTTAGTACAAGGAAGTAATAAACTGTGTCAAAGTATCGTGAAAGTAGGCAGTAATATTGCTGTCTCAGTTTTTAATCAAACAGATTAATTATTTTGCAGATTTTTAAAAATGCGACTTTTTTCGTAGAGGAGAACATTAAGTCATATATAGCAAAATGGGCTTTTTACAACCCTCTGCCGAACGCAGTTATTGTATGGTACTGAAACAAAGTATGTTTTCTTTTCCGGTTGAAATAATTGTTCTTTATGCACTTAAGAAGACTTATTTTTGGTTTCTTTCTTTCTTTTCTTTTTCTTTTCTGTCTCTTTTTTTTTTTTTTTTTTTTTTTTTTTTAAGTGACCTCCTACTCGAATATCTTCCTACTAACTATAATGGAAAGTTAAAAATAAAAAAGGAAAAAGGGATACATTTTTTTTGTTCTCATCCAGAACCTGAAATAATTGTTCTTTATGCACTTAAAAAGAATTTTATTTTTGGTTTCTTTTCTTTTTTTTTTTTTTTTTTCTTTGCACACAGTTTGTTTCGGAGTATGTTAAAATGCACGAATTTTAACTTAAGTGACCTCTTACTCGAATATCTTCCTACCAACTATAAATGGAAAGTTAAAAAAGAGGAAAAAGAGATAAATTTTGGTTTTCTCATCCAGAACCCCCCTCAGAAGAGGGAATATAGCTTGGAATATATATAATGACTCGATTTTTGTTGCCACCTCTAGAAAGCCTGCATTGGGACATCACGACCGTAACAACGTATTCACAGCATCTGAAGTTTAAGCCATTACAAGTCATTTGACTTTGACATAACAAGAGACTTAGATCTCAGACCTTATAAAACAGAAAGTGCCGTAATACGTTTCAAGCAATTTATCAATAGCACAGTGTTACTAAGCGAAATGAATGCACTCTCTCCACATATCTGGTACTCAACTCTGACAGTTCAAAAGCAGTCTAACAATATCATTATAAATGCAGCATAACATTATTATATGATCTTTAATATTGTTGCGTGCGTACGGGTTCGTGCTCAACTCCGATAATAGGTTAATAAAATTTTATTTCATCAAAAGAAATATTCAGGCGTATTCGTACAAGTGTTTACAATACCACGCAGTGTAATTAGTAGTAACATTTCAGATCACTAAGAACGTTAAACACAATGCAATGCAAAGGGCATCTAAAGAGAAGAAGACTAAATCTAGTATCTCCGTTCACGCGGAACTAAGCAACTTGCAACAATAATAACTAAGCAGCTGAGAGCAGATGCTGTTAAAAATGTTATCATCTTTATACTCTTAAAATTGTTAGATCACTAAATAGATAAGTGAAACTTCACTTACCTTCTAAAGGGCTGCCATGAACTGCTTTGATTTCCTTTGGATATCCGTGTCTATGCTAAAATTCTATTCACAACGGAACACTGCTATATATTTTTAAGAAATTTTAATTAATATGTGAAAGATATTTACATAATATTTACAAGTTACAATCAATACAAACACTATGTTTCTAATATATATGGAGACGGTATATCGTTTCGACTTTTTTCTTTTTCTAGACGCGTCACTCGTTTAACTAACTACTTTTTTTGTCTCTTCCGCCAGGGGGCGTTCGTGGAAGCTGAGTTATTACTGCACAAACGCGACAGATGTTCTCTCTTCGGGCTTTTATAGCAACCGGCCGCGAGATATTTCTAGTATTTTCTGCTTCTCGAAATTACTGGAAAGCCAAAAGAGTGTGAAATTACTGTTACAGCTAACACAGTGGTCAATTCCATTTATTCAATTTAAATATAAATTACTGGATGTTAAATGATTGTGCCCGTGTATTTTTACTTTTCCAGCATAGCTTTCTCTTAAAATTTTTCTCGCACTGCGTTGCACGAGGAAATAGAACAATTTTAATTATAATTCTACTAAAATTATCTGTTTAAATACACATTTCGCAGCAATATTATATTAACTTTATATATTTTTATTATTGTATACTTTATGTGTTTTATTTATAATTTAATATTTTATATTTTATGCTTTATATTTCAATTTAATTTTTATTTATGTTTTATTTTATTGTTTATTTATTTTATTAATATTCCATTTCATTAGTCTTTTATTTCCTTATTCTTTATTTTATTATTTTTTAATGTTATTTACTATAAACTACCATATATATAGATTTATATATAACAAATACTCTCTATACGTATAAAGCAAATAAAAAATATAAAATTTAAAATTTAATTAAGAAATTTTAATTGCAAAGAAATAGAAATAAAAATAATTATTATTGCTGCGAACTAATTTACAATATCATTTAAATTCTAAGAGCATATGAAAATTAATTGCACTTACCTAAAACCATGAAAATGTATATTATTCCAAAAAATCAAATTTAATATTCCTAAAAATTGCATAAGTGAATAATTGTTGAGCAGGCAGGAGGCAGACTAATTAAGGGGAACTTGCCCCCAAACAGTGGAAGTTTAAGAAAAAAGCAAGTAAATGACTAGAGTAATTAATTAAATTAATTAAAAATTAATTAAGAGTAGAAAACCAAAGTAATTTAGAAACTCTTGCTTACAGGAAACTTCCTCAACACGAATTATGCATTTAAACCTAAAATAAACTATATACAACAATTAAAATATAAAATTAAAAATAATAAAAAGGCTAGTAAATAGCAAGTTTTAATTTAACTTACCTAGGTACATATTTAAATTTTTCAGCTGTACCAGCATTTGCTAAACTAGTTGAGTAGTTTGTACTGCTAACTGTAAAATTAGAGGTCTGAATGCAATGTAAAGTTGAGTTTAAAGCTGCTACGTGTGACGGCTATCGTAAAAACCCATGTTGTAAATTCCAAAAATGTAAAATGAAAAATGCTTGTAGTGTGCAAAAATGTTGCCAACTTTGAGTCATTGTTAAAAAGTGTAAATAAAAAGTAAAAAATATTCACTGCCAATGCTTGTGAAAATAGATGTTGCAAACAACTAAAGAGTAAAAATTTTTATGGTAAAAATATAATTCGAATAAATAATTAAACTGAATTCGAATAAATAATTAAACTGAATTCGAATAAATAATTATGCTGAATTCGAATAAATAATTTAATTGAATTGAATAAATTTAAATTGAATTAGAATTGGAAAAGAAAATTACGAATTGAAATAGAGAATTATTGTAAGAAATATTTTGTACTAGACAGCATTATTTAAAACTGGAGTTGCAAGTTCAATCAAAACTTTAACTAAATACTGGCGAAAGTTAAGGAAAATTAGATCAAAATCTTCACTCAATTCGGCCTATAATTGAGACTTTTGAAAAGAGTTGGTCCTTCATTAGTGAAAGGAAAGAATCCAGTATTAATAAAATATACATTTTTACAAAATATATTTACAAAAAATCCCTTAATTCTTCAAAATCCTCCATTACCCTAAAAAATTAAAAAGAAAAGTTAATGCCTTCTTTTTAATATAGAATTTCATAAAAGTTTTTGGGGTCTGGTTATTAACTTAAGCATTAATTAGTTTTATTATTTCTTCCTTTAAATCTTCTATTTCAGTACATATATTTTTAATTCTAATTATTTGGCTATAAAAATGTTACCTATTACTTTTTTTAGAGATATTAGAGTTCCATTTAATTAGTTTAATAGTTAGTTTCAAACTGGAATGTCCCCCTTTTATTATATAATTTAATTTTGTTGTGTTAATTTAATTATGAGCAGGTCTAGGTATTCAATATTTTCTTGCTTCGTATTAGTTCTATTAAATGTTAAACTATCTGGGCAAATTTTGAATTGTTCAAAAGCAGAATTATTATTGAAAGTTATAATATCATCAATGTATCTGAATATATTTGCTAATAACTTTAATTCATTCTTATTCAAACTAAGTTGGAATTTATATTCATTAGCAAAAAGAAGTAGGTAGCATATTTGTGTAGAACTACTCACTCCCATTGGAATTCCTTTCACCTGCTGAAAGATCTTATTATTGAATTTTATGCAGTTATTAAATAATGCACATTGCAGATAAGTTTTCTATCTTTCAATTCAGAGAATGCTTATCATGTCAGGAAAAAGCTGTGGGAGTTGCATTAATTTAGTATAAATTTGGCCCAATGGTATAGAAGTATAAAGGTTTTCAAAGTCATAGCAGTTAATGTTCTTGATTTCTAAACTTGGAATTTGTTGAGAACTGGAGCTTTATTATAAATAATCCAACAAAATCAAAATCGTAAAAAACAACCTTATATTTAGCGTAGGTATAATGAAACACTCAATCGATTTCGAGGGCAGCTAAAGGTCCCTCCTCATCAGGAGAAAGAAATACATAGAAAGAAGAAAATAGGAATCACAGAAACACGTGGTGCTGGCTGCCCTCGAAATCGATTGAGTGTTTCATTATACCTACGCTAAATATAAGGTTGTTTTTTACGATTTTGATTGTCACATTAGCGTGTTTCTCTTCTAGTCTAATCCAACAAAAGTTGTGCTGCTTGTCAACTAGTTGATGAATTAAAATACAGATTTTTAAAGTTTAATTGCAAATATGTAATCTAGTATATTCTTTTTATAATTATTTGTACCCATTTGCTATAAATCTAAATTTGAATGAATTTCTTACTTTTTGCAGAAGGTCTGGAAGAACAATGGAAACATAATATTTGAATGTTTCATTTCTGATACTAGAATCTTAACATGATTACCTTCCCTTTATTTTCTTTTCTTTTCACTAGACACAAGCATGGAAAATATCAAAAATGCTTCTAATCTTATCAAATGGGCAGGCATTATAGAAAGCGATTTTTTTATTAATAAAGAAATTGAAAGCTTAGAATTTAAAAGATTCATGTTTATTCATCATATTAATTCATCATACACATAATATTTCTCCTGAATGTTTATATTACTAAAGAAATAAAATTAGTCGCTTTTTCTGTACATTCTAAATGCATTTAGTGTTTTTTAGAATAACAGAAATCCTTAATTAAATCCAAAAATTCTAAAATGAAAAGGAAACGTGTTGAAGAAAGAAACTGTATACATAAAGAAAATAATTCTTCAAAGATATGTGCAGTTATTATTATGCAAATTTCTCAATTGTTTATGATTTCAGCCTTTACTATAATTTCCCATTTCTATTTCCTCATATGATAGAGTTACTGAGCCAGATTAAATTTAAATTAAATTGTATAATTTTTGACCACTAATCCACATTTTTAGTTTGAATTTGTGTTTAATTACGTCACCGTGAGCTGTAATTGATTTTGTTAGCACATCGTTTATGCATGCATTTATGTTTTAAGTTCTTTTTAAATAAGAGGCTTATTTAAACCTTTGTCTGATATTGTAGTTACTTTCAGACATAGCGATAATATGCTTCACGACTTTCGGGAGTTTTGGTCTGTTTAATTTTTACCAGATCAAGTAAACCCTCATAGGTACATTGTGAAGAGGTTGACAAGTTAGGAGATAAAGCACGAAGAAACTAGTGAGAGCAGTGGTTTTGCATATCGAGACAAATCTCTAATTGTTAGAAAAGATGCTTAAAGAAAAGGAAATCGATATAAACTAGCCAAAATGTCTGGGAAAACTTCCAATTAAAATGATGGATAAATATTTTGTTGGGTGTTGTTGTTACAAAACATAAATGTTCTGTAGATTTTAATGTGTAATTATCCTAATATCGTTTAAGAATCAATGTCATAAATTATATTTATTTTAAATTGTGAAATGTTTTTAGATTTTGATTTTAATAAAGCTTTTTTAACAAATATTGTTAAAAATAAAATTTAATAGTGACCATGTAAATCCATAATGACTAAGGTTATTAAACTACCTAATTTAATTATTTATAACTAACTGCTTACCCTTAAAAATTATCTCTACATAATAAAGCGAGTTATTGCCTTTCATTAATACTCACTGTGGTTACAAGGTAAAATACAAAAATGTAAAAATTCAAGTAAAACTTATTCTTTGCATCTAGTGAGACTTAAACAATATAAAACAACTTATCACCTCTGGGGCTTTAATGGCTTATTGGAACTTAATCAAGTTAAAGTATATTAACTGGGTTACAACGCCTGGAAACAGTTAATATATTTTTACATATGAAGTTACTGGAACTCTACTGGAACTACGACATAACCTGCACAAAGAGCTATGACACTAACTTTCAACATTTGCCAACCGTGTCTAGATCAGGCCTTTCAGGTTTTTTCTAATCAGCAGGTCTCTCTCTAGACAAAGCAGTAGCGGTGACAACATTCAGTCTTTTTGTTATGAATCATGCTGATTATGATCTTACTTGTCATTTTAACCTATACCGTTTGACATAAAATCTACCTGCTATTTACTAAACCTCTAGACTGACCAAGTATGTGACAAAATGAGACATAAAAATAATCAACATAAAGCTAACTGTTAGTAAAACATAAATGCCACTTACCTTCTTTCTAATACGTCCAACTGTTATAAGTGTAAAATAATTAATGCTACTTGATAAATTGCATAAAGTTTATTTGATTCTCAAACTTATTAATAATTACGTTAATTAATTCATATTTAGTAATAATGCATACTACTTATAGATCTATTTTATTTTTAGGATGGTATTACAAAAGTGAAATTCAGGCATAGGATAATATTTTTAATTGAATTTATTCAGTTCTCATTTGCTCATAGGTCCTTAATTTTTTTCATTAATGGTCCTTAAAAGTACTTAATTTCCGTGTGCAGAAATGTGTACGAACCCTGATTTAATGTATCTATTATGGAAAATAATTTATTTTTCTGTTTATTACCTACTCTTGTCCCTCGTAATGTTTTTTTATTGAATAATTTAAAATGGCTGTAAGATGGAATTTCAGAATTTAATTTAATGAGTTGGTTGAATGTATTTAGCCCATATGCGTAAAGTGTTTTGAATTTAAGCATCTGGAGTGACTCTTGAAATAATCTTTCTTTGTATTCAGTAACAATGTCCGAAATTTGAGTACTAATTTTGCTGAAATCATGTATTTGAAAATGTTCTAATTTCGCCGTCTCGCTTGCTATCGCTTTAATATCAAAAATGTAAATGTTCTTGAAGAGGCACTATTCGAGTGCCAAGTGAATTGTTGCCATAAATGTCAACTGGTAAATAATAATGGAATTAAGACCGCCTCGACTGCCAAATTTTTTAGATATTATTAGGTCAACACATTAGCATACTACGCAATCAGAATTCTTCAGTGTGTATCTAAGTGCGCATCGGCAGTGCTCCGGGCTAGGCTACTGGGCCGTGGGCTAGGTCTCTCTGATAGTAGATGATTTCCATATAAGTAGCAAATAACCGGAAAGCTCATTATATGGTTACTTACTAACTTCCTTGTTTACTTGCTATTTTTTATTAACAAGAGAACTAAACTAAGCATATCAATGCGTTTGATCATTGATGAATTAATTCGAATAATATAAACGAATTCTTGTATCATAGAGATTTTTTCGCATTGCATCCAGTCTCGTATATAACAAGAAAAAAAAATTAAATATGAAGGTAGGCCCTTTTCCTTTCTGCAAGATTTTCTACATACAACCTTACCACAATTCCGGAAAACGAAGGATCGATTTTCGTAATCGATTACAAAGTGCAGAGTATATCAGCTATTCCCCATCGATGGTAAAAGGACAGCCTGGGCCATCCGAAAAAGCGGCGACCTACTGCTGACATCGGCCTTCTTGTGTGTTGTTCATCATGAAGAGATTTGCGACCTCTGTGAAATTCTATAAACCATCTGAATACAATAGCACGAGATGGATCGCCAGTTTCGAATGCTAACTGTAGACATTGAACGCATTCTTCTTGGTCTAACCCCACTTTAAAAATCGTAGAATATCATAACGCGATAGTGCTGTAGCAACAACTCCTTTTTTCCTTCTGCTAAAATTTATTCGACGCTAAACTACTTGCGATTGGCCAATAAAAAACACTGTGCTAAGGTAAAATAGTTCATATTTTCAAATCTAATCGTTAATTTTTTTTCCTGCTACTTATCGTCTGCGCGTATCGTTTTCGCTATTATCGGTTATAATAAATACGCCAAATTTCAAAACGCGACAAAATGTAAATTCACGTACTATATCTTAGGAAATTTTGATTAAACAGAGGCTGTTCGCACATTTTTTAGACGATTTTGGTAAGCGGTAATAAAAATCGTTTGCTGCAAAAGAAGTAATTGCAATTGTACTATGTTTTTAAAAGTCAAAATTATCGTCTGTGGCATAGAAGTTTTGTTTTTATTCAAAATGGCGAATTTAACAAAGTAGTGGCTCGAAGGCTACATTTACGCCCTTTCCGAAGAGAAATATGCATACTCCGTTATCCAGAAACGATGTGAGAGTCATGGTTTTGCGATATCTAAAGCGTCGATAGGTAATATCATCAACAAGAAAGGATAAAAACGTCAAATTGGAGCCTCAAGTGGGACAAAAATTCCAAACAAGTATCCAAGGCATATCGCTCGACGCAGGACACGCTGCAGAATTCTATATGAGAAACACTTATCCAAAGAAAAATGAAAAACAATTGTCACAATAGATGAAGCATGGGTGTATTTAAAGGATTGTAACAAAAAATGAGCCATTTATTATCATAAAGGGGGGGGGAGAAATTGTAAGTATATGGTTCAAAGAATCGTAAGAAAGTTTTTCTAAGGGATTCATTATTGCTGCTGGATTTTCTGATAATGGCAAGTTGAAAATAAAGAGAGTGCAAAAAAAATGTCAACATTATCTCCAATTACTATCAGGAACATATTTTATCGCCAATTTTTCTAAATGAAATACCTTCGCTTTACCCACAGTGCTATATATCTGTGAGACTCCATCAGGACAAAGCCAGCAGTCACACATCAAAATCCACTGTAAATTTCCTAAAAGAAATGGAACAAAAAACTGGTATCAAGGCCATACCCTTCACCGATATCCCTAGTAAATCTTCCGATGTGTCACCTATGGATTTTTGTACTTTCGGACTTTTGAAAACTGCATTATCCAAAAGTTGTCACAAAACCCTAACAGGACTCTGGAAAGTTGTTCGGGAGGAATGGGATAGAATAGCTCTTCTGCCACTTCAAAAGGCATTATTATGCTGGAAATTGCGGTGCCGAAAAATAGTTCAGAACAAGGGATGTCAAATAAAACATTTAAAACACAAGAATTTTATGTAATTTAGTTTTTTGAATACAATATACATCGCCTAAAAAATGTGTGAACAGCTTCTGGAAAACTCTAAATTTTTGCAGGTATGCTTAAAAATGCATCTACTTTTAGATGAAGGCTAAACGTGCATAGATTATAATTCAAAACTGCTTTCGAAAAAGTTATAAAAATTATTTAAAAATACAAATTTTAAAAGTAAATCATAAAAAACAGGCAAATTTTATACGGAATGAACCTAAATTTCGAAGTATGAAAGGAAGAATGAAGTAAGTTTAATTAGAAAATAAAAGAGATTAATAAGTATATATCAAATTCAATTAACGTGGAGGAGCTAAAATTTTGGGAGCTAATTTTTTAAAAACTGCTGGCGCGATTTTTACGAAACGGGGCAGTTTGGCATAATTTTGAGTCGTAGAATGGAAATATGGAAAACAATTGGTATGTTATTTCAGAAAAAGTCCGAAATGTGAGCCACTGTATTATGAAATTTTAATATCGCAATCGACAGAATAGATTCTTTACAGATATTTTCGAAAAGGCTGAACGTAATGGATAATTAAAGGAAAAAAGCTATGAAAGGAATAAGCAAGTTCATGCAGGTCAGCTTAAAAATTATTAATTAGATTAAAAAATTTTTAAAAATCTTTAAAAAAATCGCAAGAAAACTAACCGTTATTTTCCTTAATGTTCTGTCCCTAGCCGGTGGAAACAAACCTCCAGTTCAGTAGACGCCTTTCAAAAGAAATATTAAGTTAAGAATTGGTATAAAACAATATATTTCATTTCTCGAAATATCAAAGGTTTATAGTTAGAGATAGGTTATTTATTATCTTATGTTCACAAGAGGTGTAACTGATAAAGAAAGCGATAAAAAGACCCTAAGTGATGCCCTTTGCCTAAAAGACGCAATAAAATCGATACATATTATTAAAGAAAATAACATAAAAAAGAATGTTTAGAGATATTTCGTGCAACCCGTGATATCTTTCGATTTTTGGAACTTCAAAAGTTAGAACCTACAGCTATTTTATAAATCCCGGATACCAAAACATCTTGTGCAACATTGGGTTGTCCCGAAAGTTCGTGCCATTTTAGATGGAAACCTGAAACACAGGAGATTAGAATTTTAGCATACATTTATCGAATTATAGAGGTGCCATTCTGTTCTACAACCTCTCTCCATATTTCAGGCAACTTGAAAATTCCGTCCTTCAACAATCTTTCAGGTTTTTCAGGGAAAACATTTCCTACGTGATTTTTTATCTCGACCAAAGAGTTAAAGTTTTTTTCCATTGAAGGAATATTGTAATGATCGAAATGGGAAGGGGTTGGGAAAATCAGAGGGCGTGGTTTCTTGTGAATATGGAGGTGGGATAGAACGAGCTCCAAAAACGTTTCTCGAGTTATCAAAGACACATTATGGAATACATAATAACATTAATATTAAAATATCTGAAGGCTATTGAGACGATAACTGAAAATAATTGAATTGGACACATCGCTCTTCGATTCGGTTACCTTGCAAAGTCCCAGTAACACCTCACATGAATGAGTCTTGACCGCAGTTCCCCAGAGAGACATTGGAGGAAGAAAAAAGAAATAGGGCGAAGAACTGAGCGGGACTTCGAAGGATCGAACACAGTAGCAATCGATAAGGCTGGAATGAGCTAGAACATAAATAATAGAAATAAATGAAATCACGTCTCGGAAGTTTCTAAAGTGTGAGAACACCTGCCACGTGCGGGTAACACAACCGAGAATGTACGCCAAAAACGCTTCGAATAATAAATGCAAGGGGGAAACAAAATGGATGAAATGGTATTACAAATTGAATACGTTAATAAAATTAGAAATAATCTCGGGAAGCATATTTCACAAGTGCACATCTGTGTAGCCACCGAGGGAGTGGCTTCTAGGATAAACCAATGAGCATTGAGCATCCAGTAATACTTCTATCATGTCAGATGACTTTTCGCATGCTTTAAGATTTAAGCAAGATGGTTGATAATATTCCGCCCCGCAATTTTCTGAACAAAATAATTAAAGCATCGTCGATTGCTTCTGAAATTTTTCATTGCGAAGTTAAATCAATTATAGGAATTTCTGAAGATTTCACTACCTGTTTGAAATAAATGCAAATACATGTTGGATACTTCGTAAAAATATCGATGTGAAATATTACTTAATAAGCTGTAAATAAAATGAAGAAATATGTGATAAAGATATGAGCCCAAATGCAATCTTTACAGTTAGAAAGTATACCTATGAGAAAAATATTTACACCAATTATATATGTAAATAGTAGTCAGCACTTTTTATTGCAGTCTATATTGAAAAAGATGTTCTATAATAATAACCAATGCAGAATTTTATTCTTTAGTGAACTTTACTAATTTTGCATTCGATATTCATTTAGTGTGCTAGTGGGTAATTTCACATTTAAGAATCTGTTTGTTCACTCTTAAAGGTACTGTCTACACAAGAAATACTCATGAAACAGAGTGAATTTATCCTATTCGCAACGAAGTATATTCAATTTATTCACATTTAACTTTTAATGTTAACAATGGATATAATCAGATCATACCAAATATGTATTCTGCATCTTGCACTTTAAAAATAAAAAGAATGCAAGCACTGAAATAAGAAAATACTAAGATTCTTTGCAACACTTCCAATCCATTCCTCAGCTCAATTTAAAAAAATATACACTTGAATTCTCTTAATCCACATAATATGCCGTGAACATCAATCCTAATATTAATGCGTGATAAAAATCGCGAAAGTGAAATGTCAGCCATTAATCAAACTCAGAAAACGAAAGCACTACGAGATTTTCTACTATTACGCCATATATTCATAACTGCGAAACAAATGCAAATTAAAACGTAAACAACATACGCTCACATGCACTAAGATTTAACGTCAAAAGAGCAATAGCATCTCATTGGTCCATTTTCGAAACCCCTCCCTCAGTAGCTACCATGATGTGCACTTGTGAAATATGCTCTTGGGAATACAATTTCCCAATAGACTAATGCTCAGAGGAAAAACTATGAACAATAGAGGAAGATAACGGGATTATTTTTAAAAATTTCAGAAAAGCGCTAAAAAACTACAGGAGAGAAAAACGGTGCCACCAGAAAACTAATTTTTAGCAGATTCTGTCTGAAGGCGACTCTTTAGCAGGTGGTGCTAGTAATGCCTCAGACATCAACTATAACTTCTTTTTCATTGATGGAAGATTGAAAACGGTGGGCATAATGAATATTTCACAATGAAAAACCGCTGTTTTGATACGAAGCAAATGCGAAAGACCAGTTAAATGGTTAGCTATTTGTTTCTCGCGCATGCGCAGATCGCAAACCGTTTGTTTGTCGCCAGTGCTAAAACGCGCCTAATTAACATTGTCGCCAAGGCCGCTAGAGAGGCCAGGTACCAAAATTTGGAACAAAACGTCTAAGTAACATATGATTCTTTACACAGGATGAACGATTAATGAATGTGGCGGCAAGAATGGAACCTCCCCCCATGTTATGAAGATGCAATGAAACACGACGGACTTCGTGGCTTTTCACCTTCTGCAGACGATAAGGCTATAAAATGTAATCAACGAAAGCCAAAGGTAAGAATGTGTTCTTATGCTTGTAAGATCTAACTCTCTTTGCTGTCCTTAATACCACTAGATCTCAATTTGAAACCTGGCGAGTTCTCCCACAGAACAATTAAAAGAATATCAGCTCACAGAAGAAGAGTAAAATAACCCTTTATTATTCGTCAAACTGTTAACAGAAATGCATATACTCTGCGCAACAACAACAACACAACAACAAAAAAAAAAAAAAAGGGGGGGGCACAGTTCTATATCTCCCGTTCTACTGGGCCGATTGACGATTGTGTCCAAATTGATTGTGTCCAAAACAAAACGAAATGGCGACCGATTTCTTTTTAGTCCAAAGGGTCTTTGTCCCTGAAGCACTATTGTTTTCGTTTTACGATTTTGCGTTGGTTCACTATAAATGTCCGTTTCACTTTTCAAGCTGTTGCCATCAAATGTTAGAGTCCTACATTATATTTGAAGCAATTAAATAATGAAAAAATCTCATAAATGTAGTATGCATATTTCTCGCATTGTGATAAAACAACGGTACTTAGAGCCATCGAATTTTGAATCGCGTAATCCTTCTGCGAATATGGGCATATGGAAGACCAAATTTGGAATTTCTTTTATTATCGATTTCATATTTTGTAAAACTTTAACGAATTTTTGATTAACAAACTCGAGGATTTCAAAGCGAGCCATGGCAACGTTGTACAGAAAAAACATTTTTATCTACAGGGCGCGAGACCGTGTATCGGAAATTCTAAAGATATGCTCAATTTAAAATTTTGCGACATTGCTGTTGAACTGAATTTTATAGTTTAAGTGCGAAGAACGTGATATTTAATAAATAAATGTAACACACAAATGTTAAAAAAAGTCCCTTTGGACGTAATTTAAAATATGAAACCTTTCAGGTTTTTTAAATTTTTATTTTTTATTAATTAATTTATTTATTTTATATGCCTGTATTACTAACTGTATTCAATTATAAGTTTAACCTTTGAAAAGTAAAGGTTGGCTGCCGTTAAGCAGATTATTCTAGAATGTACTCTTCGGGACAAAAAGGTTGGGAACCTCTGCTTTATACATTTATCACAGGACCTGTGGTGTCCCGTTAGCGTAATGGCAAACCGCACATTGAGTTGATAAATGTTAAACGAATTTCGTTTACTGCGCATGCCCAGAGTAGAATTTGGCAATTTTAAAAGAAGATAAATACAGTGTGTGTTTGGTATTGTGTTATCTAGGCGTAAACAGTTCAGGGTGTTAAAATTTGTTAGGTTGTAAGTTGCTTCATTACTTAGAATGTAAATATCGATTGTAAACTAATATCGATTGTAAACTACGCAAATTTTCATTTAAGAAGGATTACAAAAAACGATATGTTACAAGATATATTAGCTGAATGTTTATTGATTATACTTCTGAGGAATGAAATCAATTGAATACTAACCATACTTTCCATTTGTATATACTTTCACAAATTAGGGAATAAATCTACTAGTTTAAACTACTGAATTAAAGTCCAATAACTGATATTAAATGTAATGTTTATGAACAAAATAAAACGAAATGAAACAGAAGCACATGCAATAAGCACACAACAAATTTCCGTAGTATTGAAATTGTAAAAATAGTAAAATCAGCATGACTAACTTGTGTAGTGTTATTTATTCACTCTATTAAATGCCAGTATTTCCTCCCACACCAACGGCACACCATTGAGCATGCGCACTAAGCGAAATTCGTTAACACTGATCAACTCAATGTGCGGTTTGCCATTAAGCGTTCCGTTGAGGAGGTTAACGTAATTTCCACTCGAGGTGGTTGGTTAACTGTTTTGGCCGATTGGTTGATTTTTGGCCGATTACTGGTTTTGGCAATTTTCAGCGCAGTTTTCAAAATTGTCTTTTCGCAGTTGTTCTTCATTGAACGGGACGGGAAAATATTTCGGTCCAAATATAGATAGTTTAATTCCTTTTTTTGGGGGGGAGGGGGATATTTCGAATAATTTTAACATCTTTAAAATAACAAATACATTTTAAATTTCTAACAGTATTTGCAGTACTCTGTATTTTGTGGCATCTTGCCATATTCACGTCATTTATGGAACAGTTAATG